TGGCGGTTGTCAGGGTCCACTAAGGCAAGGCAGGGGAGCCCTCGGGCGTTGTGGCTGGCACCCCACAGTGACACTCGGCAGAATGAAGTACTGAAGAGGGGGTACCCTCAGGGATCTGTGACTAGAGGGCACGGAGTGGCTTTACTAGTAGCCTGTTCTATCTCTATCTCTCTCTCTCTGACACCACTCACTCACTCCTGCCTCTTGGTCTGGGATCTCAGCTTCATCCTCAAAGCAGCAGGTAGGCCTCCCCTTCTCCTCTCGCCAGCCTCCTCCCAGGACTGCTTACCTACCAGGAGCTCCGAGGGGCTGTCCTGCCTGCTTCCTGCCCCAGGTGTCCTCCTCCTGGGCCCCAAGGCAGCAGAGCCCAGCGGTGCCCCCTCCCTCCATGTCCAAGCACCCCTGGGCTCCTCAGAGAGGCTGGGAACCAGGGGACTTGGTGGTTGCTGGCTTTTCTAGGTCAGCAACAAACTAAACAAGGGCAGGTTAGGGGGGGCCTGGCCCAGCCCGCACCCCAGGAGGCAGTCCGTGGAGACTCCCAGAACCTGCGGTGGGGGAGGAGGGAGGCAAAGGCAGGGAGCCAGCCGCAGCCCAGGAGTCTGTGAGACAGCGCAGGCCCCCTGAGGGTCAGCAGCCCTAACACACCATGTGTGTGTGTGTGTGAGGGTGTGTGAATGTACACAGAGGTGAGAGAATGTGTGATAGTGTGTGTGAGCTAGCAGTGTGTGAGACCGTGTGACGTGAGGAGATGGTGTTAGCGTGTGAGAGTGAATGGAATGGCACGTGAGATAGTGTGTGGGGCTGTGAGAGTCCGTTGTGTGAGTGTGTGCGAGTCTGAGATTGTGTGAACATGTGAGAGATGGGCAGTGTGAGCATGTATATGTCAGTGGGAGAGAATGTGTCAGTGGCATGTGAAAGTGTGATTCCCCCACCCACACGAGGGGGCTAACAACAGAAACATGGGTGAAGGGAGACAGCAGATGGTTTAAGATATGGAATAATAATTATAATTTACCAAGGGTTTCACGAGGGTGGGAAGGATGGGGGAGGGAGGGGAGGAGAGGAAAGAGGAGCTGATACCAAGGGCTCAAGCAGAAAGTCATGTTTTAAAAAGGATGCTAGCAACATGTACAAATGTGTTCGATACAATTGATGTAAAGATTGTTAGGAGCTGCAAGAGCCCCCAATAAGGTGATTGATTATATAAATGAATAAATGAAAGTGTGAGTAAGAGATTGTATGGCACGTGTGTGTGAGGCTGGGTGAGTGTGGTTGAGAGGTGTGTAAGGGTACGAGAGAGTCAGTGTGCACAGAGGGGTCGTGTGCAGCGTGGCTGAGGGCGGGGGAAGCAGGTAGGGTGGTCTAACAGATGCAGAGCCAACTGGATGGCAAAATATGAAAGGTAGCTTTTGACGTCAACAATTGCTCCTTTCAAAGTGCATCCTCCCTGTGGACGCACACTTGGCTGCAATGGTGTTCAGGCTTGAGGGTGAGACTAGCAGTCGCATTCGCAAATGGGGTGCTTTCTACTCCTGCCGCGGGCTGAGCTCTGACTCCAGGTAGCACCATGGAGGGCATGTTCCAATGTGTGCGTGGGATGGATCCTGCTAAGAGTGGGGAGGCCAAAGCCTGGGAGATGAGTCCAGGACCCCATTCCCTGGTCCTTGGACATCGGAATAGTCTGGACATGGGGAGAGGTGGGGTGTGGCGGGTGAGAACGAGGTGGGGAACAATGATCCCCAAGCGTACCCAGCAGGGCAGGTCTTCTCCAGCCCTGGTTAACAAGCCCAGGGGTGCAAGGACAGAGGAGGCCTCCTGCCTCATCTTCTCCACGCCCCAGCCTGAAATCACTCTGAGCAAGTACCTGTCTGCTCAGTGCTTCGATTTTCTCAACGGTGAGGGGGGGACAAGCAATGATTGTGCCTCCTGAGATGTGTGGAACACCCGCCAAGAGTGCCGCCCGACAGGCCGCGCTCACGCCACCTGTGTTCCCGCAGATACTCCATAGACACGTGTGTTTAAAACGGAAACGCTTATTATTAAAATCAACTTAAAGTCTAATCAGAGTGAGTTTTAAATGAGAGTCAACACAACCCTGGCCCCCACACCTTTGAAAAGAAGGGAAGAGGCCAGAGATGCACAGTGAAGGGGGGGTCCTCAGTGAGGTTGGACTTTGGACCCCAGACCCCAAGTTTGTTGAATGATTGGACCTGAGTCAGGCCTGGCCAGTTTACCAGGGGGCTCTTGATACCTCTGTTTTCTTTAATGGAGAGCCCACATCCTCTGGCCCCATCCGGTCTTGGGGCTGCTTCTGAAGTCAGTTGGCCACCTTCTCCCCGTGTGGCTGCTGATTGGGTCTTGGTGACCTGGGCTGGGCTGTCTGGTGGACCATCTGTGGTGGTAAAACTCAGCTGTTTCCTCGGGGGCTTCCACGTGTCCATCCAGCAGGGAGATAAGAGCAGGGCCAAAGGAGCTCCTCCCTCTGCTCCATCTCCTTCCATCTCCCTGGGAGGGCCCCTCTGTCCACGCAGCCCTGCCAAAGCCCAGCCGACTCCAGGAAATCAGGGCTGAAAGAAAGTTGGGCGGTTGGGTCTTGGGAGGGCTTGGGGGTGATATGATGGTGGAGAGTGGAGGTGGGGGAGGACTCTCTTCATGGGACAGGGGTTCTACAGCAGAGCCTAGGAGCCCCCTTTTCCTCGTCCCACCAACTTTACACAAATAGATATGGCTGCATTATTGGTGAGACTCCTCACCAAGGAACACGTGAGGCCCCTTATTGAAAAGTAACCCAAGACAACAGGAGTAGCTACAGGATATGAAACCGTGTGTGGCCTTCTGGGCCTGGGGCCTAGGTCACACCAATGGCCCTCCCTGGGCACAAAGCTCTGAGCGTGCTGTCCTGGGGAAAGGGTTCTCAACCATGAAGATGTGTGAGCCAGAAAGGTCAGGGACCGGCCTAATTGATGTTAAGTGATGGTCCCTGCATCTTTATCCTCGCCTCGTCCCTCCATTTCAGATGGCAGGGACTTCAAGTTGTGACCTATGGGGGTTGAGGGGTCATGTGACAGTGGGGATGGCAAGAAGTGGGTGCAAGAGAGATGGAGTTGAGAGTAGCCTCTGGAGGGCCGGCTGGTGGGCTGGGTGTGGAGTAGGAGAAAGGGGCATGAAGGGGCCCAGCATCCATGGAGGTAGACTCCTAGGAGCAGCTGGGTCCATCACCGGAGGTACTGTTCATTGGGATGGCCAAAGGATTGGGGCCCCTGTATTTTGCTTTGCTTGGGAACAGTGTGTATCGAGAAATCCATTCTGGATGAGACCAAGTTACAGCAAACAGACAACAGAGCTCAGAAAGGAGGTTCTGAACTTCACTGGTTATAGAAGAGTGAAGGAGTCAGGGGTCACTGGCAGAACTAGAACTCCCTGGGTTCCCATGTGGGTGAGAGCGCTGTGACTCTGGGCCAACGATTCCACTGATTCCCAGTTTCCTCATCTGTGAAACGGAGCTAAGAAGAAAACCCTTTTCTGAGGATTTCATAAATGAGTTTCTGAAAAGGAAATGCTTATCACTGGCCCTGCTACCGGTCAAACATCCAATACGTTATTGTGGATATTGACAGGACTGTGTCGTTTCTTCCACAGAGCTTCTGTGTCCTGTGTCAGGGGTGGCTCTGGGTGTTCTGGAGACATCTGTGGACAAGGTAAAGTACCTAGCCTCCCAGGTGGACATAAGCATTAGGGGAAAGAGAAAGAACGGAGCAGGGTGGAGGGACCGTGAGTGGGGTGGAGAAAGAGTACAGTATTAAATATGGTCATTGGGGGTGACGTTTCGGCAAGAACTTGAAAGTGAAAATTGGCCCTGTGGATGCCTGGGAGAGAGGACTCCCAGGCAGAAAGAACACCCTGGACAAAGACCCTGAGGGCGGGTGAGAGTGGTGGTCTGAGGGGTGAAGAGGCCAGTGAGCTTTGGGAGAGAGGTGGGAGGTGACGTCCCAGAGGTAAGGTGAGGGGAACTGTAGGTGGAGCTTCCTCATGGCAGAGGCTGCTGGGCAACCAGCCCTCCAGCCTGGCAGACACAGCGGCTCTCCAACTGGGTCCAGGAAGCAAGCGTCCCAACATGGAGGGCACCACTTCCCCAGGATGACAGAGGGAGTGGGCAGTTTCTAACCAGGCTCTCTCTGGACACTCTCTAAGGCATGCCTTTCCCAGCCACCCCCTCACAGCAAGGCCTCACCTGGCAGCACGGGCTCACCAGAGGGGCCTCTCCTCCTCCTGGCTATCGAACACCTCCTCCCAGCAGACCTCAGCCAGCCCTTTGTCCCAGGGCTCCCAATCAAAGCATAAGCTGGAGGCGTTCTCCTCTGAATCTGTGGGGGGTAGGAGACAAGAGTGGGCGGTCACACCCTGCCTCCTACTCCTGACCCCAAGAGGACACCTTCCTAGGGCTGGGCATCCCTGCAGGCTTCTCTGTAGTCAGGGGATCTAGGCCAACTCATGACCCAAGATCAGGCCTCAGGGAGCCTTCAAGCCCTTAAACAGTGACCAGGGGCCAAGAAAGGTTGTCCCATGACTTCAAAAGTGGCTAAGCCCATCTACTAGAGAGTGACCCTAGAGGCTAGCAAATGACCTGCTTGTATTGGACAAGGTCCAAGGGGGAGTCCTAAGGGGACACAAGCCTCATCACTGAGCCTCCCTCCATTCCCCACCAGTTCACCATTCATCAATATCCATCAATATCATTTACAATGATCCTCACAGCACCGGCTTGTGGTTATACCCGCATGAAGTCTGGCTGACTGAATGGTGGTCCACCTGCACCTCCTGGAGACCTGGTCCCTTCCATCCAGTGGCATGCCCTGAAACTAGGAAGAGAATCGTAGCAGGTCTCTTTGACTTGCAGGGGCGCCCATAATGCATGCTGAGCAAGCTGCAGAGGGACGGTTATGGTAGCAACAGCCTCCTCCTCAGATGTGTTGTTGTGCAAGCCTCCCAGGTTACGACGTGTGCGCTTGATTCGGCTAACTTCATTTGTCTTGGGAAGGCAAGGCGGAGGAAGATGGGGAGGAGGGGCGATCACATTTCACACTCCAGTCTTGTATTGCTTCACGGGTTCTAGAAGAGTGAGGGAGCATGCCGAGCGGCCCTCAGCCCCAGCGTCTTCATCTGTACAAGGGGCACAACGATGGCATCTTCTAAGGAACGTGAACGGAAGCAGCGCTCAGCACAGGCCTCGCATGGGCATCCCCCAATGCCACGGTCATTACGACGCAAGCATCAGCACCAGGGCCTGGGGCACGTTTCTCAGGAGCCACGAGTGTTTTTGGAGTACAGATGATGCTCTCTGGTCTTACCTGCCTTTCCTCTTTGGTCTTCTCCACCTCACGGAGAAGATTGCTAGAATGAGCTTTATTTGACAGATGAGCAGTGAAGGTTCAGAAAGATAAGGTGACTTGGCTGGGCGCCCACAGCCAGGAGGGGTGTTCTGGGTTAAAAGGTACCCTGGTGGTGCCATAGTGAAGCATTCAGCTGCTAACTGAAAGGTAGGGAGTTCACACCCACTAGAGGCCCCACAGGAGAATATATGGCAGTCTGCTTCTCTAAGGATGACAGCCTCGGAAACCCTATGGAGCAGTTCCACTGTCCTATAGGGTAGCCCTGAGTCTAAAGAGTCCTCAAACTATGGCCCATGGGCCACATGTGGCCCACCGAGGACATTTATCCGGCCCGCCGGGTGTTTTTGCCACTGCTGCCTGTTCTACTTCAAAATAAGAAATGTGCAGTGCGCATAGGAATTTGTTCAGTTTTTTTTTAAAACTATAGTCCGGCCCTCCAACGGGTCTGAGGGACAGTGAACTGGCCCCGTTTAAAAAGTTTGAGGACCCCTGGTCTAAATCAACCCAATGCGGGGGTGGCAGTAGGGCTTGTGTGTGGAGAAATTCAAAGGCAGCTTTGAATTTCCAATCTTGCTCCGTCAGCTCTTGACCAAGGATGGCCATGTGGGGTGGGAAGGGTCTTCAACCAATATGGTCCGGGTGGGAGTGTGGGCCTTCTCGTCTGCTTCAGTCCCCTGCTTCCCTCTGCAAATTCCTGTTGAAGCACAGAAGGGATTATATCAGGGGACACCCCCCCCCCCCCAGAAGGGGTACAGGTCTTCATCCTCTCATGAGATCCCACCTGTGTTTTCTAGGGGCTCAGCTGCCCCTGGGCTTAGTATCGGTCTTGCCAGGCAGCTTCTCTTCCTCCCTCAGCTCCGGAGAGTGGCACTCTGGCCCGGGGCCTCACCCACCACACTCCCTCCCTCCACGTCACCGCTCCCGCGGTTTGGGTTGGCTTGTGTTCTCCAGAGAGTTCTGATGAAGTCTGCGCCGCTACTCCCTTTGACTGTGACTCTGTTTGGGAATCAGGTCTTCTCAGGTGTCATCAAGTCCAGGTGGTGGTGTCATTGGGTGCTGGTGTCAATTCCAGTCATCACCACCCCATGTGACACGGACCTGTCCCACATTGTCTTTTCTCGGCCTGTAATTGTTATGGGAGCAGGTGGTTAGGCTGGGTTCACACAGTTAACATTGTGCTTGGCAGCCAAGCACGAACCGTTAGGCTAGCCAGGACTTCTTGACGAGGTCATCTGTCATCCCAAGGCCAACAGAACCGGTGTCCTCAAAACGCAGCCCCAAAGGGAGCAGGCTGTATGACTGCAGAGGCAGAGGTTGGACTGAAGGTTCGACAAGCCTGAGGAGCCACGGGGAGTCTGCGTGGACCAGACTCTCGAGCTTCAGAGAGAGGGGCCCTGTGCCCTGGACTGGCAGCCTCCAGAACCGAGCAGAAGGTGCCGTAGTCTCAACCATCCATCCGTGGTCATTTGTAGCAGCAGACCTAGGACTCAAATACAGGAGACCCATACCTCGGAGAGATACGCCAGTTTGGTCCCAGGCCCCCGCAACGGAGCACATACTGCAATAAAGCAAGCCACGCTCTGTTTGTGGTTTCCCCGTGCCTAAAAAGGTTATGTTTATGGTGTACTGCAGTCTACTGATTGTGCAAGAGCATCATGAACAAGTGTGAAATATGGCAAGAATTACCACCATGTGGCAGACTCAAGATCGACATGTGCTGCTGGGAAAGGGATCGATCGGCCTGCTCAGTCAATAAAGCAAAGGCCATCAGACCAGGTACACTGGCCAGCCTCCTGCCCTGACATGGACCCGCCAGGCCAGGTGGAGGTGTCAGGGCTCCTGTGACTCAGGCAAACTGGATCCCAGGCCAAAGAGATTCCCAGAGGGGGAGTTAGACAGGCACAAGGCCAGGTGTCTGGAGACCCTCTTCCCACAGGCCCTGGCTCATAGGCAGTACACACACAGTAATCATGAGTGTCCAGAAGGCAGGCAAGGCCCTGGGGATGGGCTCGCTTTGGTGCAAAATTCAGAAGAGGAGTTATTCGAAAACACATCAGTGAACAGCTTGAGAAAATGTGAACAATGGCCGGGGTAGGGTAAGCTGTGACCAGCTCCCTGGACACCTTGCTGGGAGGAGTGGAGCCTCAGATTGGGATGCGGGTGGGGGCGCCCTGCTCTGGAGAAGCCAGGCAAAGCCACTCCCACAATTCACCATCGACAAAATCCCACTCGAGATAGTCTTCTCCAAGGACCTGCTGAGTGTCAGCCTGAGGCGCCTGCTGTGCACTGACCTGCTGAGGCTTCCATGACCCACCGCACAGCACCAGCGTCCTCACCATCTTCCTCTGAGGGAGAACAGTAAGGTTCAGACACCAGCCAGCTGGCCTGCTTAAGTACTTCACAGGTGTGTAACTCTGGGCAGGTAGTTTTTCCTAAGTCTCACTTTCTTCAACTATAAGCCAGGGATGACTATTTCACAGGGTTATTCTAAGGTGCATGTGAGATAAGAATGCTTCTCGTACTCTGGTGCTTTAGCACGGGGCCTGGTACACAGTCACGGGTCAGTCTCTGCTTCTGCAGTTTATAGCTCTGGGAACCAGCTGGGGAAGTTCTGCTTTGCCATCTAACGTGGCTAGGCGTCAGAATCCACTCAATGGCACATAGCTTCACGTTTTCAGAAATTCACTTATTTTTGTTGTTGAGCAGAACAAAACACCAACCCAACATACACATGCCAATGAGTGACACGGATTCTCACCCTCCTCTTCTTCGCCGTTCCTCTTCCATTGACATAAGCTCTCCACCCCCAAGTTTCCCATCTAATCTTTCCAGGTGCAGTTTTAACTTTCACGGCAGATGTTACTAGTTAAACTCAACTACTCTTTGGTTTGATGAAGACTTTGGGGGATCTACTTGGTTCAAGTTTTGAGTCTCTCGGGACAGTAGTTTCAGGGGCTCAGCCAGATTCCACAACATTAATATTGACTACCAAGGGGTAAGGATGAGATGAGAACCTGAGTGGCCTGGACACCAAGAACTGGCTTTTAAAGCCATGCGCACAGCCCCCATGTGATGCCCATCCTTTGTCTCTTCAGGGAACGCAGTCCACTCTGGAAATCCGACAACATATTAAGCTGACATTTCTGGGAGCAGGATTCCCCCCCTAGGCTCTTGCCAGGAACTCCACAATTACTGGTATCCACATCTGAGATCACAGGTGGGGTGGGGAGCACTGCTCATCCTCCTGCTTGGCCGGCTAAGGTCATGAGGCTGTGTAGGAGGTGAGATCAGTCAAGAGGAAGCAGTCCCTCAGCTGTGGAGGATGCATGGGAGACAGGCCACCGAGGGGAAGAGATGACTGGCCACATGGCCAGACCACATGGGCTTGGATGCCCATACCCCCAGCTCTATGGCCACTTCGCCCAGCCTCTTGCTCCAGGAGGGATGATAGTGGCCTACATGACCCTGTGACCCAGAGAAGCCAAACCATTCCTGAGGTCTGAGAACAGGGTGTGGTCTCTGGGCACCTAGCAATGCCAAAGGCAAGCTGCTCGCTAGACCAGAGCTCTGGCCGAGGGGAGTGGGCCTGACATCAGGCCAAGGTGTACTGGTGGCAGCCCTAAGGACCCACCGGGTCACCTCCCCAGAAAAACCACCGAGCAGTGTGCGCACAAGCACACACACTGTGTTCCCTTATTTACCCCCACTACCTCTCTCCCTTCCTCGTGGTCAAACTCGGGAATTCCCTGCGTCACCAGGATTTGACCTTGGGCCCTGGACTATGAACCCTTCACTGCCAACCCAGTACTTCCCGCTTGCATGGACGGCTTTTATCTGAGCCACAGTGGGAATGCCTGACCCAAACCCTTCTCTACCAGGGTTCCAGGAACTCTTGGTCTGCTGGGGGCCCCACAGCCCAGTCTGGGAGGCTCACCTTGGCCAAGCAAGAAGCACAGCCAGATGGCCAACAGGAATAGCAGCAAGCCCGCGGGCAGGCAGAGCCAGAAAACCAGAAAGGAAAAGGTGAGGTCGTTTACCAGCGGCACCAGTGGGAACTTCATGGTGCATATATGGGGGCCAACCAGCCAGGGCTAGGTACACACTGCCCTCAGCCCCATTGTGACTAAGTAGCTGAGGTAACAAGGAAGCCAGTGTCCTTCAGATGAAGCTAGTAGGGCAGACCTAGGGTGCCCTGTTTTGGACAAGTGGGTGAGAGATTGGGAATTCCCACTTGAGACTGAAATACTACTGAGATAGTTAAGGTTTCTTGTGCCCACCTGGCCGATAAACACACATGGGATTAAGTGAAAGGCGGAGAGAGAACTGGCTCGGGAAGCCTCACCTTTCTAGTTCTCGGGTCTCTTGCTCTCTGACGGTTGGACCAGGGTGTAGCTGCCTTAGCCAGTTCTCTGCTTCAGCTGGCAAGGCTCACTTCCTGCAAGAAATCCCTGAGGAGAGCCACATGTACCTACCCTGATGCAGCCCTGGTGCTGGAGAAGCCATGTGGAGACACCTGCCAGCACTGAGATGCTTACCCGCTCACTGATTCGGCTTTCCTCCTGCAGTCGGCCTCACTGTGTGTGTTTTGTGAGATGGAGGAGGTCTTTGTGGATTGGTATCGGACATATGGGCTAATGTTGGACTTATGGGCTTGGACAGCTCTGGGCTGGGATGCTTTCTTAATGTATACTTACTCTTTATCTAAAACTCTCTTATACCTATGAGTTTCTGTGGATGTTTCTCTATTGTACCTAGACTCACACAACTACATATCTTGCCAAGCTGCTAACAGTGAGAAAGACAGCTGGGTGACACCGAGCCCTGGGTGGGTGTGAGAAGGAGCTCCAGGAGCCAGCAGGCCCTGGGGCCTGGAGTGGCCACAGGCCCCCCACATTTCCTGGGAGCAGTGGGGCCAGTGGCCAGTGGCTGAGCAGGCAGCCATGCTTGGCTCTGGCCCCTACCTGCCGGGTGAGATACAGGCCCAGTACTGTCACAGACGCTCTGGTTTTCACTGTGGGTCAGAACCTTCAGATCTGTTTGGCATTCTCCCAGCTTTATAATGGTAGCTCACCCTTGGTCCAAACCTCAGTGGCTCACAAGGTTTTCAGGCTGGGACCTTCTGGGCACACATCCCTCGGCCTCTGTTTGGAGCGTGGGTTCAGGTTAGTAGGGAGCTGAACCATCTGCACCATCTAGGGTGTGATTGTCGGGTCAGTGGTGACCCATGCTGACCCCATGTCTGGCCGAGTAGCAGCATGCTGCTCGACAGGGTTCTCAGAAAGTGGTTTTCAAAGACACCAGGTCCTCCCGTAACTATAAAACCAGGTGAAGATGGCCCCAGGAAAGAGCACCCACTGGGGAGTCCAGCCCAGTCTGTAACCAAAAGCACACACGAGGTTGTTAGATAAGAATCTCCTTAAAATTTAATTGACTAAATGTATTACATTCAATATTCCATGGGTTTCTTCTGGACAAAGAATCGGCATAAATACAAACAAGCCTCTGGGCCTTCTCCCCTGACAGAAGGTCGAACACAGGAGGCGAGGGGACATGGAGACACCTTCATATCTTCATATTTACAGTTTGCCTTAACTTTACAGTTCAGTGCCAGAAATATTTACAGAAAATACAGTAAGAAAAAGATTATGTCTTGGCAACATACTGAAATTCATACAAATTGTATATATGATTTCAAGCAAATAATGATACTGCTTTTTTTTTTAAAGCCACAACTGCCAAGCCCTTCAGAGGAGAAAGATGTTCTTGGTCACCATGAGACGAGGGCTTGGGAAACTTGGGTTTGACTCAACAACTATTTACTGGGGCGCCTACTATATGCAAGGCACTGTGGAATCCCAAATGACACCTATACCCTCACCGCTAAAAAAGAAGAGCATCTGAACAGGCATTGATGTTCTGAGAAAAACACTACAGAGTACATGGCTTCTTAGCCACGGAGAAGCCCACACTTAGATTCCACACTGGACAGAGGGGTGACTGCCTGCCCAACCCCACCCTCCCCACTCCGTGGCAGGAGAGGAGGCTGTGATGGAAAGCTTTGAAAGAGATGACTGAAGTCAAGTGGCCATTTCATGTGAATCAACGAGTGAACTCTCATTTTAAGAAAACTAGACCGCCGGGCTTTAACGTGCTGAATGGAGAACTACCGCCAGGAACTGTGCCAGACAGTCCTCACCAGCCACACACCGTGGCTTGGGGAGGGGAGGTGGGGAAGACTCCCAGTGCGAGCGAAGTTTCCTCGAAGCCTGAGCCTCTAACCTTCATGCTGCCCGGTGTATAGGAAGCAACCACGCACACCGCCTGAAGGCAACTGACATTACAAGCCAAACATGGATAGATTTTGTTATTTATAAATGAGTCCAAGGAAAATGGGCTTGCTCTGATAGGAAGAGTTCAAACTGGAGGACAGGATATGTGTTGTGTTGTTAGTGGTAGTAGTGGGGGGTGGGATGGGCAGGGATGGGATTGGTCAAGCCGCCACACAACAATTCCTTTGAAAGGGCTGAAGGAGAAGAAGGGGTTCTTTGCAGGAAGCAATGGCTGAAAAGGGAAGGGTGAAAGAGGAAAGAGCCCTCCTCGCTGTCCTCAGCGCTCCGAACCAGAGAGGAAGACTCCATCCGCTATTCCCTGGGTTGGCCTCCCTCCTTCCCACATGCTCCCACTTCACGCAGGAACTGCTGTGCAACCCTCGCCCCAAGGTGTGGTGAACACATGCTATTGCATTCACCAGGCAGACCACTCAAGATAACAACCAAGAACGAGTATCTTCCTCTGGCATCATTCTACTCAAAGTGGTCTTCACAAAGTCAGTCGGGTGAACTCAGTGACCATGAACTCAAACCCACACTATGGAAGATCCAAGAGCAGGATCTTTTTTGTAGGTGCCACTGTGAGAGGAGACCAACCCTCGACTAGGGAAGGATACCCCATTTTCTGCTGCTGCTGCTGCCCACATTGGGGGCTCTCCGGCAATTGAGAGCTGCATATGTCAGAACTTACCCCTCCTCCTCTGGGAGACCACAAAGTCTTCCCAGTTACACGTCCCACTCCACATGGCTGTCCACTTAACAAAGCAATTAGAATTACACAAAGTTGCCAGACTCGGGCTAATTACAGGATCAGCAAACCTACCTCCAACACCCTCCCCCACCCCAATACATTTTTCTGACCTTAAAACTATGCCAAAGGTAAAAGTTTCATCAGAAGAATCATACTGAGGATGGATATCTACATCAGTTCTTTGTAACCTCTGGAATGTTCTAAGTTGCACATCAACTTACAGCCTTTTGCTCACTTCAATAGAACATGGGCCCACTTTCACTTGAAATGCTCAATCTGGAACTATGCTGTAATTACTGAAACATAATTTAGGGTAGGACGGGCCAATCTTATTATGGACCCTTCCCCCATGTTACCATCTGGGAGCATCACTTTTTCGCCCAGCTTAAAAAGGAAGTCAATTGTTGAATGATAGGAAACCCTGAATGGAAAGTGGAGTCATAAGAGGAAGAAGTTATCTTTACCTGAGCTTAAAACAAACAGGAAAACAAGGGTATGGCAAACATAAAACCAACAGCTGCTATGCCCATAGTTCTGGAATAGAAATAACTGCACAGGGCACCAGGTCCTACACTCCCCTTCTCCCCCACTGAAACCACCAAAGCAAGAGCAGTAACTGAACCGGACCATAGGAGGTCTGATCTACACAACCTACTGACACCAGTTTTGGGGGGGGGCGGGCAGGGCGGGGAGAACACCCCTTATACACCTGTGATCACGCCTCTTTGGAATTCAAATGTCACTTGTGTTCATAATACAAAATCATCATAATTTAGAAAGCAGAAATCAAACAGGACAGGAGAGATGAGCAGTGTCCCCTCTAGCACTGTAGCAAGCATCGCATAAGGATGTGCTGCTCCGGCCACCTCAGTGTTCATCCCTGGCAGAAAAGTAGCAGCAAGGTAACACAAGTCGTTCCAAACCCTGACAGGGACTTGTGGTGCCATCAGCTGGCAAAGTCCAGAAAACAACCGTCACCATTTCTAAGACCAGCCACCTAAGGAGGTGGCCACCAATGCTTGTCGATGATGAAATCCAGTAGCTTTCTGAGAGAGATTGGAATCACTAGCTCCAGGAAGCTAGTTCCTAAGCCTCAAATTAGAATCCTTCATAAACCAGTGCAGTTTCCTGCTTGGTCCTGAAGTAAGAAACAGTGCATGAGACCAAGTCATCGTCAGTCCTTGTTGTGAATGCACACCTCTTGATCTTTAACCAAGGGACACAAGTGTGCCACCTGACGTCCTGCCACCATGCCGGCCCCTGTGGAGAGTGCAGGATCACTGCTGCCATCCAGCTTCTAGTGCTACAGATCTCTGCGCCCCATGCAAGTACAGGGCACTGTACTCCGTGAGGGAGCGGATCCTGGTTGCCCAGGAACCGGGGCCTTCACACGGATCCGCTGTATGGTGACGAGACTGGCAACTTTGTGAAGGGTAGAGAGAAAATAGGACATTTTTAATGTCAGATTTCTGATCTGAGCAAAAACCGTCTTCTTTTCGTCAGTCGGACAGCGGGACAGAAAGTGGGCCCACGAGCGAGCAGAGGCCGAGCTCTTTCCTGCTCCGCCAGGCGATCGGCACTGTTGAGTTCTTAATGTCCTAGGAGATTCTGGACAGATTTTAATCACAACCTCCTAAAGTGAGGTATAAAACTATCTTCAACTTCTAATTTGCAAACTTGTTGATACTACCTACCAATGCACACATTTAACTGAGATGCATACAAGCCTTTCTCCTGCAAAGGCTTACATTTCACTGAAATTGTCACTTTAAAAAGAAAGTTTATGGCTAAAACGTTTAATGTCATTACCAGCAGGAATCTGATTGTGTCTGGGAGCCCATTTCACTAAGAAGCCAAAAAAAGTCTTCTATCAAATGGGTTTACAATGCGCTTCTTCTAGTCTGGTGATTAAACAGTAAGCTCTTAAGGAGTGATTTGCTTTTATTTGTACAGTGATCACCTGTCAAGTAGTTGGCTTTGATATCATAGCCCCCGAAACTGGAGTTAGACCATTGCAGACAGACAGTGGTCTAAGAACTGCAGCTCTGTAGTCCAACCTCCTGGAACAGTGACGTATAAAACTCTGGCTCCAACTGCTTATTGCGGTACTTGTTGACAATGTCGGTGATCTTCTGTTTCCGGCGCACATGGGGTGGACTGTAGGAGTCGCTCTCCAGTCTCTTTCTTCTACAAATATTAATGACAGTTTGCCTCACCAGGAACCCTGTTATAGAAATGTCAGCAGCCAGTTAGCGAGGTGACAGCCACCGCACCACCAAGGAAAAACATCCAAAGAGAACAAATAACATGTGATCTGACAAGCACTTCCTGATTGCCATTAGACCGCCGTCTTCATTCTCCAGCATTGGAAGTCTGTAAAGTACAGCTCTACTCACACTTGGTCTACTCTGCCATTTTAAACAGAAAAAGCATGCTCCCTTTGTAACAAGAGCCATAACAGTTCTATACGTGCCACCGACGGAGTAACACGGCACTTCCTCACTCTTCCTCCGATGGCTTCTAAAACCATGAAAGAACAAGAGGCCACGCCCCTTCAGCCCCACCGCAGCCCTTACCAAGTGCTCGCCTGCTGACGATCATCCCGTCCACGAGAGGGATGACCATGTTGAACTTTCCAGTGGCTCCTTGAGTTTTTATCCGGAATAATCCAGTGTTTAAAGGGTGGATGAAGATGACAGGGACTTCTTTTTCAAGAGTGGTTGATCTGAAGAAAAGACGAGATTCTTTTTACCCCTGACATGTAAAAGTCTCCATTTCCAAGAACAGCACAGAAAGACCGGGGGACCTCTTAAAGGCAGTACTTTGAGCAAGGGATCAATGTGCTCAGACTCTTCTTCCTAGGAGAACGTGGTGCTGACCCCTATTGTTTAGTGACACCTGGCTCTAGGTTTCCAAGAACAGGACAGGCTTTTTAAGCTGACAAAGGAGGTCGAGGAAATGTGCTTAGAAACGGATGGGGGCATGGGATGGAAGGAAAAGCTAGAAACCTCTAGAATGAGGAGGAATGAACTAGGGACCAGATATGGGGCTTTCACTGCTCTTCCCTCCTGGACGAAAGAGAGGTGGGAATACAGCTTCATTTCACTCGGGGAATTCCTGATAGGATTAATTGTCCTTGTCCTCCTGCATGAGGGTGGTAACTGGCCATGTGTGGGCAGGGTCAAAAGCACTCAAACCCGCACGATGGTAGCAGATGCTATGGTTAGCAAGGGTGCCTGTGGAAAAGAGTGAGTTAACACAGTACATGGCAGGAATCTATCCAAAGGCACTCACGATACTGTGACAATGTCCATTAGTTTTGTTTTCAACACAGTGAACTTCGCTGGCATAGGCAAAGCAAATTGACCAAAGCAACCATGATCGTCTTTCAAGTTGTAAACAAAACCACACATAAAAAACCAATTCTATAGTACTGCAGAATCCAAGACAAATGCTAATAAACTTTGCTAGTCTACTAATATGTTATAATCTAATTGTATTACACCTTTGCACCTAAGTACAATGCAGTTAGTTTTCTTCTAAACTAGTTTAGGAAAAATCTACCTCATGACAGCTATTTTACTCTAGTCAGTGTCATGAATGGGAAAAAGGCCCTATGTTAAGAGAGACATAAGGAAGCCAATACTACATGCACTGTCCTGAAGTACGTTCTGATTTGACCTCCTATAAGGAGTATTCTAGGGCAAAGTATAGAAATTTAACTCAACTGCCTATCAGAAAACTCAAGCTTACTGCACAGAGTTGGTTCAGAGGGAGGTAGAACTGCTCCTTTAGGCTTCCAAGACCGCAGCACTGTTACTGAAGTAGAAAACCTCAGTCTGCTCTTGTGGAGTAGCTGGTGGTTTCAAACTGCTGACTTGGTGGTTTACAATCAATCCACTGTGTAACCCACTATGCCATGAGGGTTTTCTCAACTGGCTAGTAGATGATATTAAAGAATGATTACTAGGATTTTAGCTATTTTTAAAGCATTCTTTTAAGTTGAATACGTGACTTATTTAGAAGAAGACTGTCAGGGTATCTGTAAACTATTTAAAAGTACTTAAGCATAAAAACCAGATAATTAAAAAAATTATTTCCTAGAAGTTAAAAAGAAACACTTTTACTGACTTTATTTCATCAATAATAAGTAACATGGGCAGACATCTGTCTCAAAGGTAACCGGGACCAGATAATGTAAAGAGAAGGAACTCTAACAGTTAAAATCTCAAGTGTGAAGCTCTGCACTGTGTGAGTGGTGGTTAGCATTTTGGCTCACAGCCTGGGTTCAGCTCACTCTCTCCTTCATTGATTGAGGAACATGAGCTTATTTTATCCCACTTCTTGGAATTACTTAAAAATATTTGTTTTAACAAAACATAAATGAGCAAAACGTCTTGAAAACTGTAAAACCTATGTAAATGTTATCACACCTTCTACTCATGATTATCAGTTATCTCATTACTCAATATTTTGCATTTATAACTGGCTTAAAAAATCTACTTTCTGACTTTTTTGTACATTAACAATGCATCCCTGGCAGTAAACAAACAGTGAGGTACATACTGCGAGGAACATTGGCTGTGATTTTTTAAGGTTCTCTGTCAACTTGAGTGGGTCATGAATCTCAGTGAGTTGGCAGTTATGCAACGATGTAACCATCCTCATTTTGTGATCTGGTGTGATCATCCCCATTTTTGCATAATAATGACTTTTTCATTACAACCTTATCTTTGGAACCTAACTATGACAGGAGTGAGTGTATGGATTTTATCCTTTTCATATATAGAGATTTTAACATTAAAGAAAGTGTGAACTACAGGTTTTTCTTTTGTTTTATATATATATATATAATATTATATCTTATAAAGGACAAAGACAACACAAGGCACAGACATATTATCTGGATGAGGAAGGCCATTAGCACAAGGTCAAAATGGCATCTAGAACTACAGGTTCTTTAGAAATACTTTTCCATTAAAAGGTTCATATGATTAAGATCTTTTAATTCTATCTTGAACGTTTTTACCAATTTAATTACATTATTTTGATCTAATATTACGAACCTATTACTATCAGCCCCACTAATAATTAATAGCCACAACTTTTCCATTTTCTTTTTGCTACAGCTAGATAAAGAAGAGCAACTAATCACACAAGTTTTTGATAACTTCATTACCTTCTCTACTTATCCGTAAATTTTCTGTGATTTCCCCCTCACCCCCCCAATGAGGTTATTTTTATTGCTTCCCTGCTCATTACAATAATTTTAAAAACTAAGCTTGAGATAGTTTCTAGACCATAACGTCACTCTTTGAAAGTACATAAATCAGTAATTTTTTTGAATATTTACAGAGGTGTGCAACTATCTATTGTGCTAATTTTAGAAGATTTCCACACCCCCCCCATTAGAAATTCTTTGTGAATTTGCAGTCATCCCTGAACCTTGGGTAATCACTAATCTTTGTTTCTATAAATGGAATCATGTCTTTCATGCCAGATTTCTTCACTCAGCACCAGGCTGTAGCACACATCATAATTTTACTCCTCATTACAGCTAAAGAGGACTCCACTGCAGGGTCCAGCACATCTGTTTATTCACCATCAGCTAGTTCCACATTTTTAATGTTCACGAACACTTGAAGTAAGTCTTTTAGTGGAGCTATGTCCCCTTTATCTTGGGTAGTACCTTGGAGTGGAACTGCCGAGTTATATAATAAATCTTGTGTTTTACTTTTTGAAAACCAAACAAAAACAAACTCCGCTAAGTTGCTTTGTTGTTGTCCATTTTACATTCCACCAGGGAGCCATGAGGGATCTAGTATCTCTACATCTTCACCAACACTTGATTGTCTTTTCCCCTTAAGTCATCGAATGGTTGTAAAATGGTTTTGATTTGCATTTCCCTAAAATAACTAATGTTACTGACCATCCACTTATCTTTCTTCTTTGGAGGAATGTCTATTTAAGGATTTTGTCTATTTTTAACTTGGGTGGCTTGTGCTTTTTCGGTGAGGTTCACGATCAGATAGAGGATGTGTAAATACTGCTGAGTCAGTGGCTCATTTTTTGATTTCTTAAAAAGGAAAAAAGTCATTCTTCATTCCTTCATTCAACTGAGCTGAACATCTTATACAAGTAAACAGGTGTGCTGGTGTTTACAAAGAGTGACCTGCTGATAAATTACTTCAAACCATGACAAATATAGTACCTGAGAGAAGTGCTACTATTTGCAGTAGTTTCCACACCAGTACTGATCTCTGTCATCAGGTCTGAAAGGGGAAAATTTTCTGGAAGAAAAGAATATTACAGTTAATAGCTCCTTCACATATACATGCACGACAGTGTAGAATATCATATATATGGAGTCGAAGTTCCTGTTCATGTGGGAAAGGTGAGGAAATGGAAACATCACCTTCACAAGTGAACAGCTAGTGGATGATATGATGGGAAACAAGAGCTTTGCATTTAGACGGTTTGCTTAATAAAAGCCTTGATGTAGTAGCAATAGTTTCTGACTTATTTTTCTATATAAGTATTTCCCCACACACAAAACAATTTTTCCTCAAGAAATATTTTGGCTAAGTTCATCTAAAGCAGAGGGTTTTAGAAAACATGACTAGCAGTCATAGGGAGTCTAGAAGACAATTATTATGTGTTCCCAGGAACTCTTGAGTTATGTGAGACCAAAAGTCTAAGTATGCATTTTTTTAAAATGCTCTTGTGTTGCTTGCAAAATACAAACAAACAAACAAAAAAACCCATGAGAAACTCAGTCATAGCAGAGCTGTTCTTTTTTATATATATCATTTTATTGGGAGCTCATACAACTCTTATCACAATCCATACACACATCCATTGTGTCAAGCACATTCGTATATTTGTTGTCATCATCATTCTCAAAACATTTGCTTTCTACTTGACCCCATGGTATCAGCTCCTCATTCCCCCCTCCCTCACCCTTGGTAATTTATGAATTATTATTATTTTGTCATTTCACCCACTTTTCTGTGGTCCATCCCCCAGGGAGGGGGTTATGTGATCAGTGTTCCCTTTCTCCCTCCCCTTCCCTCCACCCTCCCGGTATCGCCACTCTCACCACTGGTCCTGAGAGGTTCATCTGTCCTGGATTCCCTGTGTTTCCAGTTCCTATCGGTACCAGTGTACATCCTCTGGTCTAGCTGGATTTGTGAGGGATCATGATAGTGGGGGTGGAAGCATTTAAGAACTAGAGGGAAGTTATATGTTTCATCGTTGCATAGCAGAGTTCTTAAAGACAAATTAGCCCTTACTTTGAAAGTAGACAGTGAGTGCACTGGACTCATCAAAGATCTGCCGCGGAAAACAAGTGTGTGCAACACTCCCTTTCCCTTTTCCGGAAGCCTTCTGGTGGCTGGGAGAACATGCAGTGGGGTCAAATGGCAGTAAACCATATACACTATGACACCAAAGATTTCACCTACCAATTTCTAAAAAGCTTCACAACCATGCACTACATTTCATGGCTGTCCCCATGTAACAGAGGAGTATTTTAAAGCTAAGAGCCCCAGCTAAGTACTGAGCAGCTAACAAAGGTGGGCAGTTCCAACGTGGCAATGGCTCTATGGGAGAAAAGACCTGGCGATCTGTTCCTATAAAGCTTGCCGCCTAGAAAACCCTACGTAGACGTTCTACTCTGCCCTGTACGGGTCACTCTGCATCTCAACCAACTTGACAGTACACAACCACAACAGTCTACGGCTTGAAAAACTGAGTGATGTATTTAGGATGCAAGCCCGCTTGCTAGCCTCCAGGTCCCAGCCCTTGGCCACCACACCACACCACTCGTCTCTCATTAGACATTTAGCAAGTCATGCTCATTCTATTAAAATATTAGTTATGAAACAAGTCCTTATACAGTACCGATATCGTCATAGCGTTCCACCCAGACTACAGAAACTCTGGTCTCAGGTCCTAGGGGAGGCACAGGGCGCCCCTGAGGCAGCATCTTCATTCTGGAACTGGGACTGAGCTAGATGAGGAAGAGAAAAGCAGAAGGGCGGGGAAGAAAACAAGTAAAAAGCTCGGACTTAACAGAACTACTCAGCATGCGGTTATCAAGATACTCAGTGATGGGTGAGAAGAAAATAAAGGAAAATGCCAGGTCGTGGGAAGTCACTTCAGGAACACAGGATGATAAATTTTTTTTTTTCCTTTCTTTTTTTTGACATTTTATTAGGGGCTCATACAACTGTTATCCCAATCCATACACACATCAATTGTGTAAAGCGCATTTGTACATCGTTTCTCAAAACATTTTCTCTCCATTTAAACCCCCGACATTAGGTCCTCATTTTTCCCCTCCCTCCCCGCTCCCCCCTCCCGCATGAGCCCTTGATAGTTTATAAATGGGTATTTTGTCATATCTTGCAGGGTGATACATTTTTAAAGAAGCTCTTCCTTGGCTGTTATTGGTCTAACCTAAACCAAGGAAATGGACGGCTGTCAGAGGAAACAACGTGAGAAATAGGCTATGACAGTGCTACTGACACACAATGTAATGTGGCCTCTTTAGAATCCATGTCTATTTCTATGGCTAGAAAGCAGAATGCTTTCCCAATTGTGGCAACATCCCTGTTTGCTCCGAGAGTCATTTTTTCAAATGCCCCCAGTTATTCCCAGAACGGAGACCAACTGCTTCAACCGTCGCCTATGTTCAATCCCTCTTTCCTGTCCGTGGAAAGACAAAGGGTTGCTTGGAGCTTCCCTACCACGGTGGTTTGCGCAGGCTTCCCTGCCCACCCAATCAGCTTGAACACGTCTTCACAAGGCCGACAGGGCAATGTGGCCCTTTTCGCACTTGAACCGACTTTAGCGGATACAGCAGAATTGAGTATGCAGGGCAGCCCTAGGAGAGCCTCAATTTATTGAATTTTAAAAATAAAACTGATTAGCATAGAGATAAATGTCTTGTAACCGGACAACCAGCAATCATGGCAAGGCCTCTAGATTCTTTCTCCATTCTAGTGTGTTCACAGAAAATGACTTTGTCCAAGAAACTCCCCATGTACTGAAATAGCTGTAATGAGAAAGTCCAACAACACTAGCAATGGTGAGAATATGCACCACCAGAGCTTTCAAACACTGCTGTGAAGAGATCTACTTGGCAAGCTCTTAAAGAGGTATAAACACTTCTAGCCTAGCACCCAACCATGCCACTCCTGGGGAGCTACCCCGGAAGAAGGAAAACCTATTTCCATACAAAACCTTGCTCATGAAGGTTCCTGTCCGCAGGCGCTTGTATAGACACGGGCAAGGTGATTATTTGGATTATATGGGAGTGTAGAAGAGCCTAAACAAGCTTGAAAGAGACAGACAAAGCTGTTGGACTTAACTATCATGTTTGTAAGAGTCCTTTAAGGTTACAATAATCAAGGCACTGTGGAACTGGCATAAGTATCAGCATGCAGACCAATGAACCCAAGAGTTAAGGGGAAAAAACCAAAAAAACACATTATGTCGAGCCAAGTGAGGCTTTTAACAAAGGTGCCAGGGTTGCTTGATGGAGAAAACAGAATTTTCAACAAATTCATGGCTGGCCAGACAGCCACATTCAGAGACAATTTTCTTAGTAGCATGGCTCCTAAATGGCTTTTGCGATACTCACCATATCCCCAAAGACCCATTTCTGATTCACGCATTTTCTTACCCAAGTAACAATTGCAAATATAAACGCGGCTATGATTCAGTCTGCTCTGTGCCACACACTGTGCCAAGCATTTCGACTAGTTTTTACCTTAAACGTACAGTTACCTGGGGGCTTAGGTTTTCATTTGGATTTCTGTGCTAATGAAGTGGTGCATTTTTTCATGCACTTACTGGCCATAAGCATATATATATTTTTTAAGTACCTGTTCAAATCTTTTGCACATGTTTGAAACTGGTGTGCTGACCTTATTATTCTGAGTTGCAGGAGTTACATAATTTAGACCTAAGTCTTTTGTCAAGTATATGTAATATAAATATTTTCTCCATGCTATCACTTGACTTTTCATTTTGTTTTTTTTCTCAATTTGTGATCTTTCCTCTTTCTCTCTTTTTTTAACAATTGTTTTATTGGGGGCTCATACAACTCTTATCACAATTCATACATACATTAATTTTGTAAAGCACATTTGTACTTTTCATTTTCATTTCTTAAGGGCAAAAGCTTAAATTTTGGTAAAGCTCAACTTTTCTACTTTTTCCTCTAGTAGTTGGTGCTTTTGCATTCTATCTAAGAAATCTCTGCCCACATCAGTGTCACTAAGGCATTTTTCTCCAATGTTTTCTATTGGAAGTTTTGCTAAGTTTTATATTTGGGCCTATACTTTGAGTTACTTTTTGTGTATGTAAAAGAGATGAGGTTATTTTCTCATATGAAAATCCAGTTATTCCAGCACCATCTGTCAAAAAAAGTCCTTTCTCCATTAAAGTGCCTCGGTACATTTGTCCAAACTCCTACGTGCAATGTCTTCATTCAGTTCTATTTAACTGTATTCGACCCTTACACTGACACCACACTCTAAATTATTAGGGCTCTATAATAAATCTTGCAATCATACAAATCCTCTATCTTTGTTTTCTAAGTCAAAATTAATTTGGTTATTCTAAGATGTTTTCTTTTCCATATAGAGGATCACCTTGTAATTTCTTCTAAAAATTCACCAAGAATTTGACTGGCATTGCATTAACTCTGCAGATTAATTCAAGAACTGACATCAATACACAAATATGGCACAGCTGAATACTGGAGATTTGCCTAAAACCCTCCATTACAATTAACAGTGACATGTTGATCTCTGAACTGTGAAAACTTTTAGTACAACTCCTGATTTTCAAAGTCAACCTATGTCAGAACATGTACACAACTTGATTTTTTCCTCTAAATCAATTTTGAAGGTGAAAAATCTCTCCCATCATCTCTTTTAAGCCAATATTGAGTAAAAATAATTTCCACTAGAAGGAATCAAATTAAGTTCCTGTACAGTAGAAGAATATCTCCAGTCAAGTTTAGATTATTTTTTGTTCTAAATCAGTCTTCTTCTTCTTTTTTTAGCTCAGTCTTCTTACACTTTGAATTATCCTGTATTCTTGCTATTTCGTTTCTTGGTCACTTCCCAGGAAGGATTAAGAAGGGGAAGAACGCAGAAAAAAAAGAAACAACATCTGCCGACAAAGTAAGAGAAAGTATAAAAAAAAAGCAAAAACCTCTTCTTCCCTCACGGCACTCATTCATACTCTGAAATCCCACTACATGTATAAATTGTTCAAGCTGAGCACTGCATGCATAAATGATGATGTGGGATCCCCGGGCAATGCTGCAACTTCACTGCATACCTCAAGGTTCTAATAAGAACCCTGGTTTGGACAGGAAAGGGATGGGTAGAGAACAAGCTGGCACCAATGGCTAAGTCAAGGGAAACAGTACAGGCGCTCTTATTATGAAGCTATTTATAGTACGCTGATAAAAGAAAATATTGACAATTTGTTTTTTAAAAACTTAATTACTAATGATTTGGTACTCTATGACAATTATTCTCTAGGTTAAAATGATAAGCTCTTCGGCATACTCAACTTCTGGAGATATACCAACATAGTGACTTACCCTCTGTGAGGAATTAAGATTGTCTGTATGATTGGGGAAAAGCTCAAGTGTCAGGGATGGCTGTTTTAGAATTCCTGGCATAAGATCCATATTTGAATCACTATCTTGGTCCGAGATGTTACTTTCTAATGAATCAGCTATGGGTTAAAGAAAAAAAAAATCAATTACAATACTTACTACTTAGTTTCAGTAAAGATGTTTAAACCAACTACATATGAACGTCTATCCTAAGCCATTTAAACAAAGCACCATCACTCAAACAAGGGCTGGTAAACTTGTTCTGTAAAGGATCAGGTAATAAATACATTTTAGGTTTTTTTGTCATACAAGTCTGAGGTGTGTGTACACGCACAGTATTTTACAATCCTTTAAAAGCTGTAAACAGTCATTCTTAGGGGATTGAATTTGGTCTGTGATTACTTGGCTCTTGTGCTATAGCAATGATTCTCAACCTGGGGGTTGTGACCCCTTTGACCATCTGAAAAGATATTTCCGATGGTCTTGGGAATTGAGACACTGCTCCTCTATCCATCTTCAGGTGGATCCATCCACATGCAGATACGTCCATATATGAGTACCCTGCGTGAAGACTGTTACCCACGCTACACCAAGCTTCAAGACAAAATTTCATTTATTTGTCATTAGAAATAAATATTTCACAATGTATAGTTACATATTGTTTTTGTGATTCATCACTATGCTTTAATGATGTTCAATTTGTAACAATGAAATACACCCCATGTATCAGATATTTACATTATGATTCATAACAGTAGCAAAATGACAGTTATGAAGTAGCAACGAAAATAATTTTGTGTTTGGGGTCACCACCACATGAGGAATTGTATTAAAGGGTCTCGGCATTAGGAAGGTTGGGAACCACTGCTCTACAGGATAATTCAAATAAGACTGGAAACTAACTTCTTAGAGGTAGAATATGATAAGAGCCATCTGTTATTCTCTGAGGTTGTTTTTTCCCCTCTGAGGTTTTTGATGATAAACTCAATTAGGCAGCCCTGTAGCAAGTTGGCACGGGGGCACTCAAAAGGTACAGAGGACCATCTCTCTGTGATTAAGCAGCAATCAGGTTTGAGAAAGCAAAGAGAAAAAAATAAAACAAAAAACATTCAGAAACAGGAAGAAGTTGAGTTGCAATAGGGATGTCTTAAGGGGTAAGGTTTAATTTTCAAAAAGCAAGGGTTCACAGCAAAGTAAGACCGTAAGCTCAGACTGAGAAGTAATTATCACCCAATCAATCCTTAAGAAGAACATTCTTGATTGCTGTCTTTCTAGGCTTGATAAGGTTCCTCCTGCTCAGATTCTTACTAGTTAGATTCTATGGGGTATCATATAAGGCTTTCACATAGACGTCCTGTGAACTCACTCATAATCAAACAAAGAAATGAACTAATTGAACAATGGGGCTTTAACTTACCAGGTGAGCTTAGGAGCCCTGTGATGCAGTAAGTTAAACACTGGGCTGATATCCCACCAGCTCTGCAGAATAAAGATAAGGCTGCCCGCATCTCTAAAGATGGATAGTCTTGGAACTCCTCAGGAACAGCGCTACCTTGTTCTATAGGATTGCTATGAGTCATAATCAACTTGATGGCAGTGGGTTTGATTTAGTTTTATGTATTTGTTTAATTAAGCTAAAGAAATGCCAAACTTGAGTTAAAGGAGGGCTGTTTCATTACTTTAAAAAGTTATAATTAAGTTAATTCTCGTAAGAAAGTTAAGAGGAACTACCACCTTTGCATAATCTAATAATTAGCAAGCCTTAAAAGCAGAAGAATGACTTTGTCAAAAACTCTTCCAATGCAATGATACGGTAAAAACCAGTGAACACAAAAATAGATCTTAAAATAATACCATACAAAAAACGCTCTTACTTAAAGATTCCACAGGAGAAGGAACCACAAAAGCTATTTCTGTCAGGGCATCAGCATAATACAGCACCTTCTTCTGTCCATTGAAAATGCTAGCCCCAACATCTTCAGAGGAAATTACTTCATCTAGGAACGAGAAGCACGACATTATTTCTTTAAAAAATGTGAAAACCCAGTATTTTCCAAACATTCTGCTTTATGAAATCTTAACTGGTTAATAAAATAACAAAAAGTAGAAGGTAAGTTTCCAATTAGAACCAATTAGTGTGTGTGAAGAGCTTTAAATCATAAAGACTAACTTCAGGTTCAGAAATGAAATCAAACTATACTCTTGAATTTGCGAGGCCTTAGGCTCCCTTGCGAGGCAGATGAAGAGAAAAGGACTTTCAGACTGGGGAGCAGCCACACGGAAGAGACCATCTGAAGGCGCTGGGTGGGCATCGGTGCACCCCTCACTTTCAAGGCATTTCTGTCTCTAACCTCTCTCCAGCTTCTCGCTGCTCCTGCCCCCTCCTCCCCCAGTGGTCAGCACATGCACACATGCACAGGCACTATTTGTAACAGTATCTCTTCTAAGCCAGCCTGGCAAAAATGAAATTAATCAAACCCCTGAAAGCTATGACAGCGTCTAATTAAAATGAACAAATTGTTATACCAATAAGGCATAAAACACCAACAACCTGACAAAAGATTGGGTGGAAAATACCAAAAAGCCGTCTCAGGAGGGAAACAACAATCTTTTAAAATGCTCAAACTCTTATTAAAAATATAAAATTTCTGTAGTAAACAGAACTATTGAGATGAAGGATTAGCAAACTTTTTCTATAGAGGGGCCAGATAGTAAATACTTAGGATTTATGTAAAGATAAAACAATACTGATGCATTGTTGTGCCGACTCACCTCTGCTGTAGTGAGAAAACAGCCAAAGACCACATGCCGGTCAGAGTCTGGCTAAGTTCCAACAATACTTTCTTGACAAATACAGGCCTGGGCTGCAGTTTGCTAACTCTGGGCAGCTACTTGGTATCCACTGTAACACACTGCGATTATTGGCCAATACCCACTCCACCTTGCCCCACTCTACACAGCAGCCACGAAGCTGATAGGACTGACTCTTCATAACTGCTCTACCTTCTCTATTTCTGACAGGGTCATTTCACCGTTCTTGCTTTGAGACAGGTTTGTGTAGTTCAGGTCTTTGGGGTAGAGGAGGCTACTATCTGGCTAATCAGTCCCACTCAGGACAGAGTGGTTGGGGACAAAGCCCGCATACAGAGAACAGAGCTAAAGGAAAACTGCAGAGAAGCAGAACTGACCACACGACATCTCAATGGCATTTTCAGTGACATGACACAATAAATGACCTTCAAAACTAAATGGGCCAGGTTTTCTGTTATTTGCAACCATGGGGGGCTTCTAATAATTAGTGGGAAAATGCCACTTTTCCATGAAACTTTTAAAGTCCCTTCATGTTGGCAAAATTAAATAATGTCTGCACTGCTTGCTATATGAACTTTTATCTTTATGATGAGAATTTATGAGAATTAAGCTACAGATATAGTCAAACATGTGCAAGAACATGGAAATACAAATTACAGTGGTATATTCCCAAATGTTTTGATTCTGCCTTGGTTGAAATAAAGGAACTACAGGTCACAAATCACAATGGTATTTAATAGGCAATGTTGAAGTACATCAGCACTCTTTTGAGTGTTTAAAGCAATGGAGCGATAGGTTTATTGTGCCAACCTGGCCAATAAACACATGTAGGATTAATAAAGTTGCAGTTTAATTGAAGGGCAGGGAGATAAATGGCTCGGCGAGCCTCGCCTTTCTGTCTCTTGCTCTCTTATGATCAGACCAGCGTGCAGCTACGTTAGTTAGTTCTCTGCCTTAACTTGTGAGCCACACTACCTGTGGGACACCCAACCCGTGGACTGTGTTGCTATAGTTTGAGGTTCCTTTGAGACCTGCTTCTGCACACTGCTGGTGCATACCTCACTTGAGCTGGGGACTGTTGGATCCTGTCATCTGACTGACTGTTGGTGACCTGCCCTGCTGTTTGCTGCCTGTGGCCGGACTGTCTATATTGTTCCACAGAAGACTTAGCTGTCTGCTTTCTTGACGTGCACCCAGCAGCCCTCGTGAGTTGAAGGACTGCCAGTATATTAATTGTCTCACGGAAGTGAGTTGAACTGCTCTGTGGACTAATTAGCTGTTTACTTGTGTTGTATATATCTGTGTACACACACACACACACACACACACACACACACACACACACACACACACGGTGTATATACTCGAGTATAAGCCGAGTTTTTCAGCACGTTTTTAATGAAGTTTTTGTGGTAAAATTAGGTGCCTGATATTCGGGTCAGCTTATACTCGAGTATATTAGTATATATAAAATCAGTGTCCTGGTTTTGTTTCTCTAGAGAACCCTGTCTAACACAGGTGGACGCAAGTATTACCCTCCTTATAGAAAAAGAACTTTTCAGTGACCCCAGGAGTAAAAGCATGTGCCCCATGGGCACAGGTTTACACTGACATCAGCTCTGGTACTTGTTATCCGATTATAGTTCCTTAGGAGGACTCAATGGAATGGGCAAGACTCTCTCAGAGATGGGCATATATTTACTGCAGAGCTCTTAAATGCAATCCCAAGAATGAAACCTTTTAACTGTGATAATTGATGGCTGCAAAGTCAATAAAACATACCTGTTACAGAAAATCATCCTTGTTAAGACAAATTGTGCTTCTAGGGAAACTGTATTGCTTGTTCTAAATTACCTATATTTATTAGACTATTTTTATAGGAAACTGAATTTTTTCACTCTTAATATAAAAAGGAACTTTTCAAAGTTATGATAAATAAGCCACTAATTTTATATTAATTAACCTCCTCATTTCCTATATATTATATACAAAGAAAATATCTGGATGAATGTAAAGCTATCTGTTAACTGACTTCCCCGATGATGACAATGAGTAGGAGAGGGACGTTTTCATTTGTATACCTCTGTTTGGTTTCATTTTTAAATAAGACTAACGTTTACAGTGAAGGGGAAAAAATCAAGAGAAACCAAACACAAATGAACAACTAATCATTATGACATTTACCTTGTTCAGAGCTTTCACCATCATCACAAATATTAATAGACCAACTGGTGGAGACATGTCCTGTCCAACCAGGATGTCTTCCCACATCTACTGACCAGCCAAGGGAGAGCAAAAACTCTAGGAAATGTGGCTGAACACTTCTGGAAGACTCCACATTCTTTAAAATCTGAAATGAGTATTAAGCATCAGTGACAATAAAGGAAACAAAAGAGTAGAACCAAATAAATGTCCACTGGTTATCTCTGAAGCTTTGACGAAACGAGTCCAACCAAGCTTAGAACAGACATGAGAACAAAGCACCAAAGAGTTAAGAATTCTAACTCTGAAGTTGGACAAATGTGAGTTCTATTCGTAAGCTTTGACTCAAGTTTCTGAACTTTACTTAATTTCTTCATATATAAAATGGGGACAATAATGGTTTTGAAGCAAAATCTTTTCCTTGCAAAACAATTACTGAACCAGAGCCAATTAAAAACAAAAGCAAAAAACCCCAAACTAGTTGCTGTTGAGTTGACTTCAACCCATAGCACTCCATTTGTTCAGAGTAGAACTGAGCTTCATAGGATTTCCAAGGGCGAATTTTGGAAGCAGATCGCCAGGTCTTTTTTCTGAGGCACCTCTGGGTGAACTCGGACAAAGATGTTTGAACTACTCAGGGACTCTAGACACAATACCCAGCAACAAATAAAAGACACCATGCCACTGTCTTCACAGTTTACTAACTGGTAATGAGAATCACTGCATAGATATGGGATTCATCACAAATCTTGACAGATGCAATCAAAGTACATGCCTATTAAAAATTCAATAAGAATTAGTTATCATTATAAATGAATCTTAAAATAGTCCACTCTTGGTCTAAAGAGAAAAACAGAACCGTGTTGAGTCTGTACTTCCAACAAAACTGAAGGGACCACAAGGCTCTCCTTACCTTACTAAGAGTAGCACCGGACTCTCGCTGGCCTTCAGTTAGAGCAGACCCCCATTCTACAATAGCACTGGGGCCATTTTGCCTTCTGAAAACTTTGGTTGTCACATCTGGTGGGTGCTAGTGGCATCTAGTGGGCAGAAGCGAGCACTACTGCCAATATTCTACAATACACACTGCACCTCTCCTGACAAATACCTAGTCCACGCTGCCAACAGGGACGTTATTTAAAAACTTCTAAAGGAAGACAAAAGAATTCTCTACATTCATTCTCATCTGTCTATATAAGAATCCCCTGAGCCTGGAATCATCCTTTTTAAAAGCTCCTCCAAATGACTGTGATGCAGGTAGTCCACAGACCACTGTTTTGGAACTGCTGGCATAGTTTAGACAATGCTCATCAATGACGTCAAGGCTGTAGGCCTATGAAGGGGTGCAGAAGTCAACTACAGTATGTTGCACTCACTACTTCTCACTCCACCAGGCATCCTCACTAACTCTTACAGAACCAGTCTCTTTAGAGTATGCCTAGCTAGTGCCCTTGTATCCTGTCTTATTCTTGTATGTGCCAGCAAACTGATTAGCAAGCCGGTTCTAATCTTTCCAATCGTAATATTCAGTTAGAAGTGAAACTTAAAAATAATACAAAAGTTTAGTCAAGAATAAACAGGTCAAATTCAACTCACATGCTATTTATTTGCAGCCAGAAATGCACCTAAATCTACTTTGTGTAGAAAAGGGGGCATTTGAGAGCATATCCATGTGTTCTTGTGGAGCCTGTACATAGGGCAAGAGACAATCACTTGAACAGAACACGGGGGTTGTGTGTGCTTTCAAGATCAACAAAGGGGTGTGCCAGGGTTATTTTATCCATTTACCGTAAGACTGTAATCTATATGCAAAGCAAATAGTCCGAGAAACAGAACTACATGAAGAAGGAGGCAATAAAGGATTGGGGAAAGACCCACTAACAACCTGCGGTATGCAGATGACACAACTTTGCTTGCCGAAAAGTTAAGAGGGCAGAGAGTACTTACTACTGCCTCCGGTATGGATTATACCTTAACATACAGAAAAGAGAAATCCTCCTAAGTGGATCAATAAGCAACATCATGATAAATGGAGAAATCACTGAAGTTGCCAAGGACTTCAGTTTACTTGGATCCATAATCAGGACTCCTGGAAATAGGAGCCAAGAAATCAAACGGCAAGTATGCTGCGTAAGACCTTTTTTAAGTGTTAAAGAGGAAAGATGTCACTTTGAGGACTAAGGTGCACCTGCCAAAGCCAAGGAACTTTCAATTGTCTCATATATGTGTGAAAGCTGGGCAATAAATAAGGAAGACTGAAGAATTATTTATACACTGGAATTCTGGCTTGGGGGGAGAATATTAATATACCATAGACAGCCAGAAGAAGAAACACAGCTGTCTTAAAGGAAGTGCTCTTAAGAAGCAAACATAATGAGACTTCATCTCCCTTACTTTGGATGTATCATCAAAAAAGCAAGAGCCCCTCAATGAAATGGACAGACACAGTGGTGCAGCAAGGGGCTCAAGCACAGCAATGACGAGAAGGGTGGCGCAGGACCAGCCAGTGTTTGCCCTGTTTGCTCAGGGTCACCATGAATCAGAACCTGTGGCAGCACCTACCAAATGCCTCCACCTTGTGGGGAGGGGGTCATTTTCAAGTTGTCTCAAAGGCTAGTGCCTTCTCCTTTTACAGGGAGGAGAACATGGCTCCATTCTTTTAATTTGAACCCAGACACTAGACTGGTCCCAACCTCCTATCCTAATCCAAATGTTCTGAGGTTCCTTTAAAAAAAAAGTTAGGAATCCACCAGTCTCATCCCTGGCTACCCACAGACCATCTTCCCCCAGCTCCAAGCACACTGGGCTCCATAGTAAATGCCTCTCAAAGCCCACAGAGAAGCAGCGCACCAATTGGTGTGATCACGAGGTGTCCATGGAATCAGGTACCAGGCATCAAAGACCCAGAGCAAACAGTCATATCCATGTGAATGATAGGGAGTGTGGATTGGAGACCTAAAACCCATCTGTAGGTGACTGGACATTCCCTTACAGAAGGATCACAAGGAAGAGACAAACCAGTCAGGATGCAGTATAGCACTGATGAAACACACAACTTTCCTTTAGTTCTTTAATGCTTCTCCCCAGCAATCACTATCAGGCTACCAATTCTACCTTACAAATCCGGCTAGACCAGAGCATGTATACAGTTACAGAAAAGAGCGGAAACACAGGAAACCTAGGACAGATAAACCCCTCAGGACCAATAATGAGAGTAGAGATACCAGGAAGGTGGGGAGGAGAAAGGGTTAACTGATTACAATGATCTACACAATGATCTCCCTGGGGGACAGACAACAAAGAAGTGGGTGAAGGTAGACATCAGCCAGTGTAAGGCATAAAAAATAATAATAATTTATAAATTATCAAGGGTTCATGAGGGAGGGGGAGTGGAGGGGGGGAGAGGGAAAAAATGAGAAGCTTATACCAAGGGATCTAGTAGAAAGAAAATGTTTTGAAAAGGATGATGGAAACAAATGTTCAAATGTGCTTGACACAATGGATGTATGGATGTATTGTGATACGAGCTGTATGGGCCCCCAAGAAAATGATTTAAAAATAAATAAATGCCCCTCAATTTCATGAAGTTGCAATTCCCTCTTACTTCTGAGACCTTTGCACACATTGATAACTTTGTCAGTAACCATCTTCAATGCACACTTTAAACACCAACTTAAATGTCTTTTCTTCTAAGATATTTTTAAAAAATAGGGTTAGGCTTTCCTATTAGGGCTTCTATAACATGTCGTAAGCCTATTTTATCACAATACACCATGATTACTTATTTAATCATCTGTTTTCCCCTCTAGCGAGATCTAAAAGACAAGAACCTATAGATCTTGTTTACCACTGTAGCCTGGTGCCTAACAGAGAGCAGACACTTGTTATTGATGGAATTAGTACTATCAAACGAGAGAAGCGTCCGCATCCATCAACCTCTTTTCTTAGTACATCATGAATAATTTATAGTACATTTGTATAAACAAACATTTTCTAATTTTGGTAAACTTAAGGAGTGTTCAATAATGTTCTTAGAATGCTTATAGTACAATTTCAAGATTATACAGGATGCTAGGTCTGGTGCCTAAACATCTGAATGCTATATTATTTTTATAAATTTTCCTTTTGTTCTTTCATAGTTATAGTTATAATATAGTATTCTATAGCATAGAATACTATATGCTATAATACTATATTAGAAACTTCAATATCCCCGCTATTTCCTCTCAGTTTTCCACTCTTGTATTATTTTTTATATCTTATGTTTTTCTTCATCCTTCTCCTGGTCTGTTTATTATATCTATTCAATTGTATTTTCCTTGGTCGTTTGCTTTGATTCTTTATCACAGTTGTTATTTCCTCCACGGCGCACTGTACACAGCCCAGTTGGAACCACTCCTACAAGGGGAGTGCAAGAGGAAAGACTTGCAACCTACTCCGATGCTCAGGCACACTGGGGCGCAGGGGAGGTGTTCACTACGTAGCTGCTGCTGGTAGTAATACTCTTCTTGGGCAATCAGTCCCAACTTTAGTTTTTTTGTTACTAACCTTTGATATTTGAGTTTCTTTTGTTGGATGTACTTGAATTCCTTCAGGGGAAGAAAATCATGCTAAACCTCCTCTCTAAAACACATTCTTTGAGGGTCAAAAGAACCACAACTCTAGGCATCACAGTTCATTAACTCTGTTTTTAAATTGGCTCATAAGAAACAATTAAGCACCAAAATAAAAAAAACGTGTAGACCGTACAGTGGGCAAGCACAAACCATCTAAACCTTTTTATAGTGTATTAAAAAATTACCAAAAAAGTCTGAGGATTCCTACCTCTTGGTTTGTCTTCTGGCCTGGCTTCATATAGAAAACAAAAACTGTGTCAAAGGGACGACATGGCAAGAGGTCCAGATACCCAAGGTCATCAAAAAATCCAGGTATCGTGGAGTCAAGTGCAATAAGGTGAGGAGGTAGACGACTATTCGCAGGTTCCTGCCGTCAGAAGAAGAAAGGAGTAATTATTACCTCTTTTCATTATTCTAATTATAATAAACTTGCGTTTATGGTTTATTAAGAATTAAGTAAAAAAAGTATAAAACTGCAGGAAGACACACAACCATATCCCGAACTAAAGAAGCTAACGTTCTTACGTATTTCGGTGACTTCACTTGCCTTTTTTGTTGCTAAAAAAAGTGGGGCATTGTGTGTGTGTGTGTGTGTGTGTGTGTGTGTGTTTTGGTTCCTTTTCCCTCTATCATGCTGCCTTGAACTCTTAAATGCTGTCTGAGTTTTAGTTCACTTTTTGTGCTGTTTTGTTTTGTTTTCCCACAGCCATTTATCTTCCTTGAGATCTCCACCTTGTCAAACAAGGTTCTCCCAACAGTGGTATTTTTCGGGGACACAGCCTGTGGAGATGGCAAGAATTACTCTTTTCTATGTTGGCAAGGATTGTGGGCCTGGTTATCTGGTGTATTACATAATGTTCCTAGCAGGAGCTGGGGCAACAGACAATCACGTTTCTGCGGATAAACAAAGGAATATTCACACTGAGTTAAAAAAGACTACAAATAGCCTCATGTCCGTTCACATCAGATTTTACTGATAAACCAATATGCCACAAACTAATAATAATAAAAAAATCTAGATGTACAATGCTTTCCCTTGATAGTATGGTTAAGGAATGGTTAAGGTGCGCAGCATCTTATGAACACTTTGGAGGGCAAGGCCGCCTCATCCTTCTTATTTTTAGAACTAAGTTTCTTCCATTGGATCTTGCGCAAAGTTTAAGGTAACTTTTGTCAATACCATGCTGTACTCCTTTTCTTTTGCAATTTTAAAATGAATCTTGCAAGTATTGTCAATTAATTTGTGTGTGCAAAGAACTTTCTCTATTTTCAATATTTTACTGAGCTCATACTTTCCTAACTAGTAGTATTACCTAACTTCCTTCCCAATAGTTCTTCTATTTATTTCTTCTAATATTTTATTGACTTTTCAATATACTAGTTATATAAGCCATTACCTTTGGGAAAAGCTGGTTTAAATGTACATAAAATCTCCCAGCTCATGATTTGGACAGCTTCCTATGATTATTTCAAAACAAAAAGTTTTGAAAAATTTCACTGACTAAAAATTTGTGTCAAATAGTGGTCAATGTAAGCATCCTTTGATTCTGGTTTTAATCAGAGGTGCCTCTGGTTTGCCCACAAGCTGCCATTTAGAGCAGTAATCTTTAAAGTGAGGGTCTACATACAAGGGACCTTCATAAAGTTCATGGAAAAAGAGAATTAAAAGATAATGGGATTTTTCCACAAAATTTTTGAAGTCCTCTTATAGAAATCGTTAGTCTTGGCTAAGTACTTCTTTAATTTTAAAATCAGAATTAGTATTATTTTATTGTATACTGATTGCTTGATTTAGCCATCTACTAAATTATTTCTCTAATAGCTTTCCTAATACTTTCCAGTAATGAACTTCCCTTAGATCCCTTAAATTTTGGTTGTGAACAATAATTTATCTAATATGCTAGTGAAGAGTTTTCTTAACATTCTCTTTAATACTCTATAGCTGTATTCATAAATAAGATTAGTTTTTTTATATGTGTGCTGTCAGGTATGAGTTTATTGGAGATATGCTATAAGATTCATAAAATAAATCAGCTAACTTTCTGATATTTCTATTTTCTGAAACAGATGACAAGGTGCTCATTTTTCATGAGAATTTAAAAATCTCAACAACAATAGATTATGAGAGGAAAATTACAATCTTAAAGATAGGCTCCTGTCTCCCTACAGTAATAATTTTCTTCTAGTGTTATTTTCACTTACTACTTTTATTGTTCTAATTTTTTCACTAGAAATACCATTGACCATTTGTAGATTACATCTTTGTTTCTTATCTCCCACATTTATGTTGCATTTCTTATTATTTTCCTCTTTGATCTTCTGCATTTTAAGACAGTTATGTTCACACTTCCTATCACTAGCTCATTTTCTACCAAGTAAAATACATTTCCCTCTACATGGTAAAATCCAAATCAAACAGCAATGCTCTCCTCACTCTTAAATGTTCTATGATCAGGTAGATGCTACTGTGTTCGGGCAGATAACTCATACAATAAGCAACATCTGCCTGGTAATCTTCAGCTGTGCTTGTCAAAACCAATAGGACTTACTATATATAAACCCCAAATCCAACTTCAGGCAAGTTATTTCACATTTTTGAGCCTCTGTGGTTCCACATCTATAGAACAAGGATAGTATCATTTTCCTTGTAAAAGTGTTTTAAAGATAATGGAATTAAGAATAATGGCAATGTTTGTCTTAAGACTAGTTTACTCTGTATTAGTACTATATAAAGTATCTTCCATATATTAACTCAATCCTCACATGACCTATGAGATGATACTTTTTTCATCTCGATTTTACAGATAAGGAACTATGACTCACAAAAGTCAAGTAACTTGCCCAAGACCACACACCTGGCCAGGAGGCCAGGACATAAACTTAGACAATTTGACTTTAGAAACAGCACAACATAGGTGATGCCTGGCTCCAAACTACTACTGTAGCTCTGTATTAACTTTGCCCCTTTTAAAAAGTGGTATGAAAAGGCAGAGTCCGTTACAGCCCACACTTTCAATAATAAAGTCTACTAGGGTTAGCTATTTTTAACAATCTTTTTCTTCTTGTGTACGAAAGGAAATGGGTAGATTTCATTTGTGTGTGTGATATGGGTCGTGAATTACCAAGGAAAATTCAGAGCTGGCTGCATTATTTCAACACTTCCCTTAGCAAGAGCTCTGAATGCATTAATGGGATGAAGCTAGTACCTCCCTGGAGCTATACTGTAACCTAAAAAACCAAACTCGCTGCCATCAAGTCAATGCTGACTCATAGCGCGCTCATGTGGGTTTCCAAGATTGTAACTGTTTACTGGAGTAGAGAGGCCAGTCTTTCTCCTTCAGAGCTACTGATGGTTTTAAAGTGCTGACTATGAGGATCGCGGACCAACACTAACCACTAGACCCCCCAGAGCTCTTACACTGCAATCTAGCAGACCCAACTTTCAGATCACTGGCAAGCAGCACAAGATTTTAACACAACTAAGTTCCTATCACATAAAAATGCTTTTGTAATCATCAGTTGAATATTAATCTATAAATATACTTACTCATGAAAGTTTATAAAAATTACCTTCAATGCTTCTAATGATAAAAATCCAAAGTGTGAAAGGAAAAGGCGTGCTGTTTGGAATTCCTGTGCAGGAGGTGGCGGCTTACAGTCCGTAATTGGATCAGGAAAGCTTTTCTTCCGTAATTCCTCCTCACTTTGCTGTTCAAGGTGTATTTCATATGCAATCTGCTGAGCCATGCCATTCCTTAATTTTTCATGTCTCTCTTCTAACTAAAAGAAACCAACTGTTTCAATTTCTGGAGTGATTATAAAAGTGTCCATCTTAAATGTCTAAATGAGAACAATGTTACAAGTAGCAAAATAAATACAATTCTCAGTGATCAATACTAAATTTCAGCTCATTATAGAGAATGTAACTAAAATACTTCCAAGTTAAAACATACTCGGTGGTATAAATGACATGGGAGTTCTCTTCTCCTGTCCCCTACCACACTTCCAGACCACTGTATATCTTCACTAGGCAGTGACTTCCTCATGGTTTTGAATCCATGTGGACTACTGGACCGGGTTCTTGATCAATTCGCCCTCTGTCCTCTTGTTTCCATCTCATCTGTTTTAATTTTAAAATCCAAGCCTCTTTGTTGAATATTTCCAACAATCTGGCTTACATTTCTACAATCCCCACAATCTTCCTGACTGTCCATTCACAAGCACCCTGATGGGCTCTCCTTTCAAGAGCTACAATTCTGCAGCCCCTCCTACAGCTCTCCCACGTCTCCACTCCCTGAGCCCATGCTTTGCCACTACTGCACCTGGAGCCACTCAAGGGCTCCCTTTTGATTTTCCCAGGTAGCATCTTTCAGGCTTGTCTCCACCCCATCCAAGCCTAAACCCCAGTCTTCCATCTTAGTACCCACACCTCAGAACATGACTGAGCTGTCTGTCCTTCATCCTTCCCTAATTTCATCCTGTCAATTTCCATACCATTCAAATTCTTTGTTATGCTCCCAGGTTTTAAGAAAGTCAGATTATGCACCTCAGTGCCCTCTGGCAGTTTTAAGAACCATCTTTAACTGAGTGTCCAGGGGCACTAGGCACAGTTGTAAGGCACCCAACTGCTTGTCAAAGTGTCTGCAGCTGGAATCCACCAGCTGCTCCATGGGAGAAAGAGATGGCCATCTGCTTCCGTAAGAATTCAGCCTTGGAAAATCTAAGAGTTCTCCTCTGTCCTGTAGGTTGCTATGAGTTAGATCAACAGTAATAAATTCATTACACTACCAAGATTAATGTTTACGTAAACTCCCTTAATTTTTCTACTGAGCCTTCACCTACTCTCACCCTTCCCCAACTCACTTGGGGTATACTGCTTCCTAATTACTTGAACTCTTGACGGTACTGCCACTTGGGCCTTCTCTATCACTTATAATTTCCCCAAACCATTTTACAGTGTTAGCAGAAGCTCTCTACTGCTTCCCTCCTTTCAACTATGAATGTGTGTATATTCCTCCCATCCTTGAGCTTTTAAAAAGAGAAACAGCCTTGTCTTTTCCTAACTAGGTGACCGCCATATGCTACCAACCACAACTTTCCTTTATCGCTCACAGTAATTTGTATTCACTGCCACTGCTTTATCAACCATTCACTCCCCAGCTTTTAAAACTCTGCCTTCAAAGGTTATTACTTACAACTTCATATCACAATCCAGGGGGATTATTTTGGTCCTCATCCTCCCCAAACTCTTCAGCATTTGACAGTGTAAGCCATCTCTGCATCCATCACGGCGGGGCACGGCTCTATCCCCACGTCTTAAAATTGTACTCAAATGCCAACTCTCAAGTTTTCTGGCTCTTTTTCTTCCCTCTTCAACCCAAGACTATTAAGTCCATCCTCAATATATTTCATGTTCTTCAGCTCCCCTCAAGGTGAAGCAGTCCTTCCTTTCCATCTGGATTGTCAGAATAGGTCCCTGAATTGATCCCTCTTCTTCGCATCTCCTTCCCAAGAGAGTTTGGCCATGTCACCACACTATTTAAAACCCTCTAGGGACCAGACCAGGCAGCCAAGTGACACCTCTCAGAGACAAGTTTTTCCAGTTACTCTCAATCTATAGGCATTTTAACAACATGATAACCTCGTGGATGACAAGAGACTCAGGCCATCCTATGAATCATTTCCAGTGACAACACTGAAAAGTGTTTTGATCATAGAAGTCATTTAAAATCTGCTACCGTGAAGTCAATTTCCACTCACAGCAACCCTATAGGGCAGATTAGAGTCCTACACTGTAATCTTCATGGGAGCAGACTGTCACATCTTTCTCTCCTAGAGCTGCTGGTGGGGCAGCCACGTGCTTAACCACTGCATCACAATGGCTCCATGGGAAGTCACTGCAGAAGGTTCATATCCATCTCGTTATAATGGCTACAAAACAACTCATCTTACTTCTTCAGTGACGATTTCATGCAAGTCTGGAATGCTCAGATCTGCTTTCACGAAAGGAATCTTGTCTACCTCTTCAGGAAATGGTCGATGCTTCACAGTATATTTAAACCCAACATCATTTTTAGGAACAGGACGGGGTTCAGGAACAAAAAGCTGTTACAATAAAACAAACATCTTCATTATATATGGCCCAACACCTATCTGCCTTAGCTTGCATTTTTCCCTGGTCTCTTAGGTACCTATTTCCCTAGGGCAGAGGTCATATGACCCAAGAACGCAGTAAAAACCAGCATATGTCTCTCCTCCAGTGAAGGTAGCAACCTGCGAACCTGGAAGGCAGGCTGCGCTGAAATCAAACTCTAAGATGGGCCACGTTTGTGTCTGATCCTCTTCTTTCTTAAGCAGCACTCTCCCCACTCAGCGTTCTCCCAAAGGTTCAAATTCTAAGATACTTCTGTGATAATGTTCTGAAACATTTCGGTTTACTGAATATGCTGACACATTAAAACAAGGTCCACAGAATAAATATCAAACACTCTTTAGGACAGTGGCTTTCAAATTTTCCCTTACTAGAAGTGCTACTTTGATGTTTACTGTTTCCTTTTTAAAAAAAAATCATTTTATTGAAGGCTCTTACAGCTTTTTTTTTTTAATCATTCTATTGGGGGCTCGTACAACTCTCAGCACAATCCATACATCCATCCATCGCATGTCAAGCACATTTGTTTCCCTTATCATTCTGAAAACATTTGCTTTCTACTTGAACCCTTGATATCAGCTCCTCATTTTTTCCCCTCCCTCCCCGCTTCCCACTGTTTTCTTTTAAAGTTCACTCAATCGTATCTTATTTTTAGGAAAATGTTCACCAACTTATAATAGATTTCATGACAGCTAAGTAGGCTAGGGATCTCTACTGTCCTGAGTCTGAATCGTCCAGTGCTGAGTGGAAGGCAATAAGGTATTTTGAGACTTACGGTCAAACTTCTTTCTCAAGGGCTCTCAAGTCATTCTGTAAATCACACAAGGATAGACCACTGAGCAGCTCTAGGAAGTGAGTTCAGAGCAGAAGGTTAACAACTGAAGGGCACAACTGAAAGCACAGGCCCTGGAGGCAGGGCTGCTCTGCCCGAACCCCTGCCTTACTCTCTATGTGCTGTACGGTTTAAGTCTCACATCTGAAAGTAGAACCAACTCATCACAAGGGTGCCATGAGGATTTAAAAAATGCACACAGCACATAGGAAACTATCAACACATTTCAGGTCCGTTCCTCATCCCCTACCTTCTCAGTCTCTAAGGCTAATTTAGACACTTAGGAATGCTGGCAGAAGGCGATCTACACAATGTCAGGAAAGAAAAATGGGCATGGCTCGCCTAGGTTAAAACACGCCAGATCTAACATGGCACATGCTCAAGTTTTGCTTTATCTTTTGTTAAATTTAAAGTAATTCATGACTAAAAGTATTTTTGGTAACAACTGAAAGTTTACAATGTACTAAGTAAAAAAAACAGTACACAAGTGGTTCACATTCTATTCAAGTGTTACTGTATGTATATATATAAAAAAAGATGGAAAGGAAATATACCGATATATTAACAGTATTTAACTACCTCTAGAAAGTGAATGTACAAGTGATTCCACACTTGTTTTACTACCTACATCTTTCAACTTTTCTTTCATATAATTATAACTTAAATGAGTTAAGTGACATCTCAAGATTCCCTGGTGAAAAAAGAGGAGCTGATACCAAGGGCTAAAATAAAAAATAAATGTTTAGAAAATGATGCTAGCAACATATGTACAAATATGTTTGATACAACTGATGTATGGATTGTTATAACAGCTGTTAAGAGCCCCCAATAAAATGATCTTAAGAAATAATTCCCTTGTATCTTACCTATACAAAAATAAATCATAAAAAATAAATTTCAAACTGTTGCCATAGGCATCATAAGACTGGCTGAATTTTTGTCAGATAATGTGTCCTTAACTTTTATTGGTCATAGCAATGTAAGAAAGAAATTAGGGCCACTGCTCATAATACTAGCCCTTAGTTATAAATGGTCCTGAGAGTCATCTAGAACACTTTGTGAACATGCATCTGCCTCAACGATGTCTTTCTTTTTTTTATGGTTAAATCATTTTATTGGGGCTCTTACAACTCTTATCACAATCCATACACCCATCCATCGTGTCAAGCACATTTGTACTTATGTTGACATCATCATTTTCAAAGATGCCTCTCAAGGGTCACTGAGAAGGCCTGGAATGCTGGGCTCCTAATTTTGACATGAACCCACTGCTTTAGAACCTGACTAGGTATCAAAAGTATTTTGTTTATCTGTGTGCCTTTTGTTGGAATGTCATTTATCCTGTAAGGAGAGCACACGCGCACATACACACACACACCCCCTTCTCCCTCCCCCTCCCGTTCCTTCCCTGTAACTTCTGATGGATACCACCTTCTGGTTTGCTTTTGCTCCTCTGGGTAAAAGGCAAAGCTGTTGTGCCCAAGCAAGTCTTCCAGATGTTCCCCGGACCAGCACAGTGACAGAAGGGAAAAAATCATCTAGAATAAAAGGTCGCGAAAAAATGTTTATTTAAGACCACTGAGTAAAGCCATTATTAAGTGCAGATCTTTAAATAATCAGAGTCCTAGCAAAGTGTTTCCCTAACTTTGTTTAACCTTTGCAAAGAGAAACTAAATAAGTAAATAAATAGCCCAAACCACCAAACTCAGTGCCATCAAGTTGATATTGACTCACAATGACCCCATAGGACAAGGCAGAATTGCCCCTGTGAGTTTCTGTAATTGTAACTCTTTCTGGGAATAGAAAGCTCCTGCTTTCTCCTGAGGAGCAGCTGGTTTTGAAGTGTTGAACTTGCAGTAAGCAGCCCACTCTATGCCACTATGCTACCAGAGCTCCTAAAGGTAAGATGGCAAGTATTCAGTCACTGAGCGAATCCTATCACTGAGTGGTAATCATATCATACTCCAACCATATGGAGTCCTAACCATACCCCATACCATGAACTTCACAAGTAAGCCTAGACAAGTCACAAGTCCTGAGCATATTTAGTTTCTAACTGGCAAGGCTACAGGAACTGGACCAGGCAGGAAGCAACTGTTAACAATCTAGATAAGAAATAATAAATTCCTGAATTTGGTTCTGCTGGCATACATGCAGGGGAAACAGATTAAAAAGGCCATTGGGAAATCACTTACATAGGGAAGTTACCAGAGGGAGCAGGTAAAAATTCCCATATTTCCAGTCTGTTTGGGTGGCACCATAATTGAAGCAGATACAAGAGGATGAGTAGAAGAAGGTAGTAGACAAAGTTTAAAGGGAAAGAGTGCCAATTTTTGTTTGTTTGTTAAACATGTTACATTAAGACTTTCTAAAACTATAGGGACTCTTTTTTTCTGGTATTTTCAGATGTGTATCAATGACCTCTGAAAGATTCTATTTAATACATTTATTCTACTTTCTGATCCTCTATTTTTCACATGCTACTGTACTATAGTTAGGAAGTCTTTTTGCTCAGTGCAAAATTACTCAGAACCTGCCATCTTTCTTTGCCAGTTTCTGGGAACAGCTTGTCAGTGCTGATGACTAAGGTGATTTAGCAGTGGCGAAGGCTTCCTCTGGGCGAAAACTTACTCTGTTCGTTTCCAAGAGGCTGCTCCAGCATTGCCAGGATGACACTGTTATCCAAGACAAAGTACCGGAAACTATGCTTGTTTATGGTCGGCAGTCTGGAGTACTTAACCAACGTGGTCTCATTCACCAGACTACAAGGAGAGGCAGGGCCACTGGGTGAAGGAAATGCACCAAGCAATTGCATGATACTATGGATAATGGAAAAGAGAACAGTTATTCCCAAAGCAGAGCCTCTGTTTACCTCAAGCATCAAGGTGTCTTTCTGTTCTTTTGAATTTAAATTGAGCAAGGTCCTGCTGCTGCTTTACAGGTCAGGTTTGCTCCCCGCGGAGCACTTCCGATGCAAGGCATGGTTAAGCACTTTACACGCATCATTTCATCCAGTTACAGCTAACAACCCTATGAGGAGGGTAATGTTTTTATTTGCATTTTATGATGAGAAAACAGGCACAAAACGTATCTTAGAATTAAAGCAAAAAGATTTTACCTGGTGGTCCTAATATCATCTAAGCCTTCATAAACATTTCATTTGAAAAAC